TCTTTGTATATATAGTTGTATAGATCATATTTACATATAGAACTATGGAGGAAGTTGAAGTGCCTCAGTATTTCGTCTGTCCCATCTCACTGCAAATCATGAAAGACCCAGTTACGGCCATAACTGGAATGACATATGATCGAGAAAGCATAGAGAAATGGCTGAAGACCACGACGAAGACCGACCCTAGCTGCCCAATAACGAAGCAGCCGCTGCCTAGAGACTCCTATTTGACGCCAAACCACACACTGCTTCGCCTAATCCAGGCCTGGTGTACCTCGGGGGGTTTTGATCGGATTCCGACACCAAAACCTCTGCTTGATAAAACCCATGTCCTTAAACTTGTTAAGGATCTTGATTCTGCTTGCTTTTATATGGATAGGTTGATGGAAATTGAGTTGTTGGTGAAGGAAAATGAGAGGAATAGAAAGTGTATGGAGGATGCAGGAGTTTGTAGGGTTATGATCTTGTTGCTTATAAGATTTTTCAAGCAAAAAACAAGTCGTGGAGTCGAAGAAGCTCTGAGAATTTTTCATCTTACTTGGTCTCCATCGGATGAAACCAAGGCTCTTCTCAGTCATGAGGTTGATTTCATAAGTGCTTTGACCTGGGTTTTACATTGTGATGAAGTTGAGAATCATGTCAAGACGCAAGCTTTACTAGCCATGAAAATGGTGACGGAGATTTCAAGTGGTTGGATTTCAGAGAATCTAAACTTAGAATTCTTCAAACAAATCATCTCGGTATTGAGAAAAGAAATCTCCCAACAAGCCACCAAATCTGCCTTGCATATTTTGACCGAGGCCTACCCTTGGGGGAGAAACAGAAAGAAGATCATCGAAGCCAATGGCATCTTCGAGCTCATCGAATTAGAGCTATCGAAGCCCGAAAAGAAGATAACAGAACAGGTTTTTAATCTGTTAGCCAACTTGTGCTCTTGCGCGGATGGGAGAGCAAAGTTTTTGAGCCATGCAGGAGCATTAGCCATGGTGTCTAAAAGGATTCTCAGGGTTTCTCCGGCCACGGACGATCGAGGAATTCATATTCTATCATTGATATCGAAATTCTCAGCAACCAAACAAGTTCTTTTAGAGATGTTGAGAGTCGGAGGGGTGACAAAGCTATGTATGGTGATTCAAGCAGACTGTGATGCTTACTTGAAAAAGAAAGCAAGAGAAGTGCTTAGGTTGCATTCTAAAGTGTGGAGCAATTCTCCATGTATTGCTGTGTATCTATTAACAAGATACCAGAGGTAGCATGGATGTTAACTATTAGCTACCATTAGATATATATATATATGTATATATATATGTATGTATATCTTTGTGTAACATAGTATTTAGAAACAATATAGTACGTGAAGCTACATGAATAATTTATGTTAATTTAGATAATTTTCTATCAATTGACATGATATTTAATAGAGAACTGATTTAAAATGATATTTAAATATCATTAAAAAATATTTTATATTTAAAAATATCAATTAATACAATAAATTATCTAA